TTGTATTTTTGGCTGTAGTTCACACCGCAGCATTCAGTTCCAGAGCATGCCAAAAAACTGCAGCAAGCCTTATTTTTCCTGTACTGGGTCGCTCTGGAACGCATGCAAACACATCAAAAACACATTGAAAGGACATTTTAAATTTAAAACAAAAACAAAAACATTTTTTGTGTGAAAAAACGGCCTTGAAGGTGTCAAAAACGCGGCAAAATACACTGCACTGCGTGTGCAGAAACTCATGCAGATCTGGTCTGCATTGGTGTAAACAAGCCCTAGGGTTTTTGCCACGTTCTGGGCGGTTTTTGTAAAAGAAAAATGTGTTCTTTCTTTAGATTAAAATGGGCTTTCAGTGCATTCCAGTGCGTTTACATGCATTTTTGTATGCGTTTGCATGCGTTACAGAGCAGGTAAAATAGTGCTTGCTGCAGTTTTTTCACATGCTCTGGAACTGAACGCTGCGGTGTGAACCAGAGCAGAAAATACGATTGCAATCCATTGGACGCAGTTTTGATCCGGTCTGTAACTGCTCTGCTCTGCTCCTGGAACGCGCTTGATGTTAACTAACCCTAAAGGGTAATGTTTATCTTTGCGGGGCCTTGGATACTTATTTGGAGTAGACATTGTATTTGCCTCTTCTCAATTTGGTATCCCTTTTCTAGCACACTGATGCAGACTGCAGCTCTACAACACTGTGAAGTGCAAGCCCAGTGACTGGCTGCAACAGCACTGTGATCAGTAGGATGGGGTGAGACAGTTGAGGAGCCCGTTCACAACAGTTGCAGTGTGTTCCAGCCCGATTCTGCCCAGAACACACTGCCTTGCATTGCGGGCGGCTTACTTTTTAATGGGAAGTTACAAGGACAACGTACCTAAATACAGCGCTCGTCTGAGGGGGGGGGAGGTGGGGGGGGGCAGTGTCTATTAGGTTTTTAAATTGTTACTAAGTGTGCTAGTTTGGTTGAGTGGCTTCAGAAAACATACGGACCGGGGTGTCCGACAGATGGGTGATTCAATCAGAGAAAGGAGGGGAGAGCGCTTCTCCCCTCCTTTCTCTGATTGAATCTTTTTAATGGGGTGGTGGGCCATTGAAGTGAATTGCACCGTAGCCACGCCCTCCAGATGCAATCTATGATCCCCTGACAGTTCAGTCCACATCGTAATCTGAAAGCTCACCCAGGACTGTGTGGATCATGTACAAACGTGGTTTCCTGAACCGAACATCCCCAATCCATTCCTGGGTGACATGTACTGCAGTTGCTGTACATGCCACAATTGCTGCTGCCAAATCCAAATCAGCCTCAGCAAACATAGTGAAGGAGTTGTGCTTCTTTTTCCTGCTCAGTCTATAAAAGAAGTAGGTTTATGACAAGTTCCTCAATCTTTGCTCAGTGCTTGACGAGAAAAAGGCACAGTTTATTAAACGTACACCTAAGTGTAAGAAAACATAAAAAGAGTTAAAAAAAATAAAAGTCACATAAAAAAAATTTAAACCCCCCCCCCCAAAAAAAAAAATTTAAGTCCCCCACGCACATATAAACGTAAATACTCGTCCGGTGCACCAGCGCGCAAAACGACACTTGCGCTACACGTTACATATCGCCGCGAACGTCGGAGTGAGAGAAATCATTTTAGGGCCATCAATCACTGATAACACTAAATTGATGAGCGGTAAAAGCTTTTAAAGCGTCGCCTATGGCCAATTTTGGGTATTGTAGCTTTTTGAAGTTTTGTGTGTGCACACAATTTTAAGGCTTGACATGTTTGGTGTCTTTTTACCCTTAATAAAGTAAAAAATAAAACCATTGTATTTCAGTACAGCGTTGCATGACGGAATAAACGTCAGCCAAAGTACCGCAGCGCTGAACACTGAAAAATGGCCTGGATGGGAAGGGGGTCTAAACACCGCGGACTTCAAGTGGTTAACACCTCTCTCTGGGCAGGTTAATAACACCTCCTAGCTCCAATTATACAACTGAACACCTGGTTGTGACTAACAGATTATGTGGATTGGAGCAACATTCACCATATATATTCACAGATCATTTTTGCACAAGTCATTCTGAATTGAGAAAGCTGGATGGATGAGCAGTGAAACTTCTTCAGGAAAAATACAGCAAGTCCAGTTGCCTTGACTTATTTTTTACAGATATAAAAAATTAATGTACCCCAGCGCTCAAAAATGAAGATGCAGCTTTTGATGCAAAACTCACCTTCTCTCTGGTACTGTCTCCTGCAGCAATCTGCTTAGTCATTCAGCACTGGCCCTCTCCTGGGGAAATAGCGGAGTTCAGACTCATAGTGGACCTTTCAATCATTTTACAAGTTTACAATTAAAAAAAAAAAAATTATTACAACAAAAATCTGCGCTCTTGGAAAGTGAACTAAAATATTCAAATGGTGGTCCTAAAGCTGCTATGAGAAGTGTTAAATGTGAGAGTATGAAGTGTAGTCACAGCGCTAAAGGTTTTGAGATGAATGTAAAAAATGTATATAAATATATATGAAACAACCTTAGTTAGCAACCCTGTAAATAAGTCTTCAGAGAGACCTACCAATGTGGGTATGAAGTACCAAAAAACAGGTATCCATTAAGGACTGAAAAAGTGCTAATGTGCAAACATTCGAAATGACAACTAGATTCCCCAATAAAATAGGTGAATAAATAATGTAACAGAATATCACAATGTAAAAACCGTAAAATTTGGTATATAAAGGTGAACTAGAAATATATTACATAACCATACAATAGATTAACTCATAAATACGTGAAGAAGTGCAAAATAGCAGTGAGAACAGTGAAGCATATGCACCAATCAAGCATGTAATACAAATGAAAAAATGAAAACCATAAGTCTTTCCGAAAAATTCAATCCGTGATGTGAATATAACTCCCAAGCGATGGTTACTCACCAGATGGTGTATGGACAGCAAGCTCCTCTCAATAGCTGTAATTCCGGTCCCTCAGCTCACCGATACGTGCAGGATTCCCCGGCAATGTAGCGGATAGCCCCAGGTATCCTTACCCGTCGCGCTGCAGCGAGTCCGGTTAGATCCCGGCTCCTTCCGCTCGCCAGTTGTAGATGGTATATGGACAGCAAACTCCTTTCAATGGCTGTGATTCCTGTCCCTCAGCTCTCCGATACATGCAGGATTCCCCGGCAATATAGCGGATAATCCCAGGTATCCTCACCCGTCGTGCTGCAGCGAGTCCAGTCAAATCCCGACTCCCTCCGCTCACCAGTTGCCGATGTATCTATCTCCCAGTCTCGGTGGTGGATCAAAGGGATTTAAGAGAGAAAAGCAGCCTCCATAGTGCAGTATAATTAAACGAGATAATTTTTATTTAAAACGAACAGTTCACATGGAAATTATAAAATAGTTTTTCGGCCGGCCTGACCTACAAATACAAACAACTCGTGTCAGAAAGATCTGCCCCTTGACGCGTTTCGTCACTTGACGTTTTCTAAAGGTTAACAGATCTTCCCTAGGTACCCAACCAAGTTCAGATATACCCCTAATAATTAAGCAATCAAATAATTTCATCAGTCTCCAAAAGCAATCAACTCAAAAGGTTCATACCATTGATCCCTTAGAACAATAGGAGCATGGTGTAACCTCTTGTATCGAACATATTCGTTTAAAACAGAGACTACAAAAGTATTTCAAGTTAAAATTAAGGTATTTCTGGTTGCACTTATGTGAATCACAAATTCAATGAATAGGAAATAAAATAAAAATATGTATAAAAATGCTAAAAAATCAATGATCATTAGGATAAATATATGGAAAATTGTGTTTTAGGGTACTAAACTAGATAGAATTAAGATTTATAAAAAGCACATTATATAAATATACAGATGTATGTTAAATATAAATAGAAAAAGATCATTTGTTCATAATTATAAATGTATAAATCCATATCAATAATTAGTTGTAAAACAATTAAGATCAAAATCTATATTTAACCCCCTCGGTGCCATGGTGTCCAGAAGAAAAATTCATTTAGATTAATTTTTTGAAATTTCTTTTATGAGATTTGAACCCCTCCAATGATTTTTTATTCTATCTATCCCACATATTTTTAAGGACTGAGGGTTTTGATTGTGGTATATTTTATAATGTCTGGATAAGCTATGTTTGGTAAAACCTTTTTTAATATTGTTAATATGCTCTTCCAATCTCTTTTTTAATTCCCTTTTAGTTCTCCCCACATATTGTAGGCCACATGGGCATTCCAGGAGGTATGTTACATGCCGACTATTACATGAATTAAAATTGTTTATTTTGAATTCCTTGCCATTAGTTTGGGAACTAAAGGATTCAATCTTTTTCTTTAGACCAACTAAGGTTGTTTCATATATATTTATATACATTTTTTACATTCATCTCAAAACCTTTAGCGCTGTGACTACACTTCATACTCTCACAAGTTTACAATAGCCAATAGCAGGCTGGCTATTGCAACCACCCACTGCTGCTGTCAATCAGCTGAGGAAGACCTGAAGTTCTCCTTATAATAGCGGCCATTGTCAAAGTTTAAAAAAAAAAAAACAAGAAACAGAAAGGACACCTCCCTGAAATGAGAAGAGCACCTGCCTGAAATAAGGTTTTGGAGGTTGAGATGTCTGCTGAACTGACATGTGAACTGACATGTGCATGGTTGACGTGTGTGCAGAACACACATCAAGCGCAGGAAAAGAACGTCTGCCCACTGAGCCCTTATAATAAGTCACAAATCTTGGTGTATTGACCCTGATGCAAGCAACATCCTAATCATAACTAATCCTGAAAAGTTAATGGATTGTACATATAGTTGGATGAATGCTATTGAGAGTGTGTCATCTATAACTTGAAATGTATTGTTTCATATGTTGCATAGTTGCTGTGGACCTTAAAGCTTGTTGAGTACCTTGAAGTACATTTACTATAAAAACACACTATTTTAAAGATTAACTGTGATTCCAAATTAACAGGGTTTGCCAGTAACGTACTAGTAAGATTAGACAAGTCCTAACATTCATTAAGCAACAGAGAATAAAATCACTGCTTGCCAGTTCAGAGTACAACCACTCCTGACGATTGGGCAGCCGTAAGTACCTTAATTATGCTGACTGGTATTCAAGATGACAAAGATTTGAGGGTCTCTTGATAGCCTCTGAATTTCCCTCCAATATACTAACTTATTTGCAGTGACTTAAAACAAAATCAGTTTGAACAAGCCTTGCACTAATCATTCACTGCAGTTGTAAGTGGAACAAAGATGATCATGCACAGGTAATGAAAGCTTCTTATGCAACTTCCCACCAATCTTTCATCATGATGGAAAATCATTGTGCCTACTAGTAAACCTTTGTTAAGGTAGATATGGAAGCTGCCATTGCTGACTACTTGAAAATGCTAGTTTCCTTGCTGTTATCTTGACCCTTTGGATTCAGTACTTTGTGAGTTACTGACCTTGAAGTACGCAAACCACATAAGACGGAAGAGTAAGTCCCGATCTGCATGCTTGTTAGTGACACAGTATTGAAGCTAGAGATGGCTAACTAGTATTTGCTGAATAAAATGTCAACAATGGCAGCCTCCATGCCTTTTCTAATAACAGGTTTTCTGTAAAGTGTATGTAAAGCCAAAATGTTTCTTTTTTGCTTTGGATTGCTTAAAACCCCAGTCGGTATATTTTTCTGACTGTGCCCCACTGGGAAAGTTTCCCTTCACTTCCTGTCCTGGAAATGTAACAGGAAACGAGAAGAAATCTCTTAAGGCCCCATTCGCTCTCCGATGCATGGCAATGGGGCTCTGTTCGTCGCTGTGGCGCGTTGCTACAACAGGACCCTTTTTGGAGCGGATTTCAGCACGATTCTACTTTGCTCAATGCAACCATTTGCGCGATATCGCGTGGCAAACCGCGCGATATGGTGAATGGGGCCTAACACCTTTGTTGCCAGAGCTGTTTTTTTACACATGTAAAAATGCAAATTTCAAGTCTGAAATTGATTATAGTCCCCCAAAATTATAAATTTTTTGAAAGCAGAGACCCTGTAGAATAAAGTGGTGGCAGTTTTTTTTTTTGGTCACACAATATTATTGAAACAGTTTATCAAACCCATATTTTCCAAAATTACATTCAAATACATTTTAATGTATGCAATGTAATAATGAGGTGCACAAATTAAATAGATACCAAACATTTTACACTTCACAACTGCATGTGACCCTGAAATGGCAAAAAACTTCAGTACCCCAAGTTGGCAATAGGCGACGCTTTCAAGGCCTGCACAGGTAATTAACTTACAGTTAGCCATTAATAATGGTCCTAGAATTATTGTTCCATCATGCATGGTGATACCCAACATGTGAGGCACAAGTGTAGTTTTCATACATAGGCGCACCCAAAGAATGTGTTTTCATTCATATGTGCCTGCACACAGGGGCAGTGGGGCTTTAAAAGCATTTTTGGGGGGGTTATTTATTTTATTCAACTTTAGTTTTTTAAACTTTATTTTCTTTTAAGCTTAAAAAGGACATTTCCACCTTTGTGGAGAGCATTTAAAAAAAACATATGCCAGCAATGCACAAAGAGTGTAGATGATGCCGGCATATGCTGATCCTGGATATAAGCACAAAAACTTACTTTTTTAGTTGTTTTCTCACCACCTTGTGCTCTGTATTTATTGCTGTCAAGTCACATACAGAACCAATAGACCAATAGCCTGATAACATGTTACTGGGGCCGGGTCCTCTTTAAAGAGATATTGGAGTCTATTAAAGCAAACCTCTTAGGAGGGATGTCTTTTGTCTGAACACAGACAATCCTCATACAAAACATCCTGTTCCTGGGAGTGGTCCAGAAAGGCCTTAGTGAGTTTCTTGTTTTTCTTCTGAGAACCCTAACTGATCATCTTAGGGCCAGTAGGCAAAGGCACCTCTAGTTTTAAACAATGCTTCCCCCTCCTCCAGAAACAAAGGTTTGGAGACAGCTGAGCACACTAGCAACTCGGTGGGAACGCTGACTGAGGACCCTTTGCATCCCCCAGGTTTTATCACAGTAAAGACCTTCCCTATAAGTTCTGCCATGGAAGCCAAAGGGCGTACCCCCTTCTCCATGGAGGAGTTTTTCAGGGAGCGGGCTCCACCAGATGGGTGCACCACGCACATTGAACCTGTAGTGGACCCTGTGGCACCATGGGAAAACACCTAATGCAGAGTTCAGTGCCTAAGCAACAACACAGGCTGGGTCCGCACCATCCACATGGCGGGGTCAAGGTATGGCCCCTGAGGCCTGCCATTGGTCACTGATCCAGAAGCTGCAAGATCACAGACTTGGTGGCTTAGGTGCAACTATGGTTGAGGTGGGAGTCCTCTTCAGATAGGTTCTAGAAGTAGAATTAGCCAGATTCCAACAATCAGAGAGAAGTCATCATTCACTTAAGAAGACTAGCAAAAAACCTGAGGATTGCTGGGAGTGAGAGAGGTTAAATGAGCTGTCCCACCATTCTGTTTGCCATAATCACGTAAAGGCGGTGGCTGCATATAAGTCAGAACCTGTAATTAAAGAGGCTGTGTCCTCTATTATATGATTAAGATATTAGATTTTTAAAACATTAACACATATGGTAAGTAAGCAGGTAATTGTATAGTGAAATACATACCTGAAAAACATATTTACCTTCCAAAGGATCTGTAATTCTGTTCAGCCATATTTACACATCTCTGTCTAGTCAGGAAGGTGACTCCGTTTTATCCTAGTTTAGTGTTACAGATTTGTGACTGCTAATAGGTCAGAGGTGAGGATGTGGATTCATTAATCAGTGAGCAGGGTGGTAAGATAAAAGTGACCTTTTAAGCTGTTAATTTTAAATGGTATGTATAAGCAAAAGTTGTTTTGAATAGAACACAGCCATGTTTTTTTTGTTGTTTTTGTCTCCGCTGGATACATTCTGTTATCTGCCTGTAAGTGCAGTGTGGAAGAGGTTGTGAATCACAGAGCTGGCTAAACAAAATTACAGTTCTCTTGGCACATAAATTATTTTACATAAACTGTTTAAAACTACTGTGTACTTGGACAATTTCTGGAGTTTTTTGTTTTAATATCTTTTTGCTGAGCGGTGTTCCTTATGTAATAAGCACAAAATATCTTCTTGGTTTCAGATGGGAAAACTTATGTGCCTCACTGTGATCATTATGGTGTCTATAAATAATACACCAGGAAATTGTCAAACCACCAAAAACAATGAATGTATTGCAGGTGTGCCAGGTATTCCAGGTACACCAGGTACAAATGGTCAGCATGGACCTTCCGGCCGAGATGGAAAAGATGGACAGCCAGGATCAAAAGGTGACCCAGGTAAATATTCCAACAGGATAATCAGGACCATGAAGTATAGTGAAAATATCTTCTTAAGTGTTATCCTCTGGTGGTTGGAACAAGGTTCTAGCTTTCATGCCTCCTGCTACTTTACAATTTGTTGACACAATGCAGAGTTGTTTCCACAAATATCTCCAGGACATAGCTGGAGTGGCTGGTTGACAGAGGGTGAGACTGTCCTGAAAAATACAGTAGAGTGAGTAAA